CGCTCTCGCTTCGCTTTTGTGATGCTAGCTAACTCGGAATAGCCAAATATTCGCTCTTGTAGCTGAGCGACTTCAGACAACGTGGTCTCACTATCTGCATATCAAGCACACCGCCGAACAAGAACAGCGAATCCCCCCTTCAACTGCACCAGTGAATCCCGCGCCCGGTAAACGGTTTATGATCATTCGCCAAGAGATTAATGTTCCCCAGCCTGGACTATATATGGGTAGTTTTGATTCCTTCGCGAAACTTCCTAATAGCGAGACAAGCGTTCTGAATGGACTGCCTCCTGACCCGTCTAGGAATGACGGCAGGAAACGATGGTCACTGTTAGGAAAGGTCCTTTCTCTTGGGGGCAATACGGGTGCAGGCGCTGGTTGGGACGATGATTTCCAGACTGTTCGTCGTGAGACAGCAGAGTCTCGTTCTTCTGGCGCCGCCCAAACGAATAGGAACCCTAATGTTAACCATAACAAGGGCCGCCCATCTGAAGATGATTCCTTGTATTCTCAACCAACCTACGAGGAGCCGAAATATGTATTCAAGTTTATTCTTGCTTGGCAACAACAGGCAGCACCTCTTCGAGATCGTTTCCTGACTCGCCCTCGACTTCCCGGCCCAGCACAGACTCGCATTAGTGGACCTTTACGAGTCAACGGCTTTACTGTGCCAGCTGGATATGCAGCGCCAACACGCAAGTTCTCTGGTAGCCCCCAGCAAGGGCTCATCGATAATGCTAGGAATGCAAATTCACTGAGGCCAACTGATGAGCAAAATGGGTCTCCAAGTTGGAAGCTTGAGGTCACGCTTCCGAGTCTGGGTGACGAAACCCCTCAAACACCCAGCATCAAAGCCAGCCCTTCGCCTTTACCATCGCCGTCACCATCACCGGCACCCTCGCCCAACTCAAACATGGGCTCTTTCACCGATGCTGTGGTGGATCCTGTTAAGCCAACTGGCCTGTATGTCAAGAATTCCGTCTATACTGGACGCTCGCTCGCTGAGTGGGCGCAGGTTGTTTTTGAGTGCAACAACTTTGTTGAGCGCCGTCGCGATGAGGGAATGGAAAACCTTGGCGACGTTGAGATACCTACCCTTGGAGTGGAGGGCTTCCGCAAGGTTGGCGGCTAGAGGCTGTGACACCTGAGGCAAGCTCATTTCCCAAGCACTCTTCACATTGTGCAACACGTTCTTTCACATTCATGATTCCCTTGCCTTATTTCATGCGTTCACTATGAGCATGGTCATATTTCCTTTCGCGCAAACATACATCACTGAGGTGATTTCACGGCTTCTTTGCATACAACCGGTCCCAGGGGTTTAGATGTGGGATATGAGGGACCTGGTATGGATTCAGGTCGCTCTGAGTGAACTTCTCATTTGTTGGAGATTTTCAACGATACTTGTATAATGGCATCCAGTTTTAAGGCGTTATCGAGCAACAACCGGTCTGTTTGCTTCTTTTTGTTATATATCATATATTAGCCTGCCATAGGGGCACACGTCGGGACAGGTCTTTGTTGGTCAAGGGGATAGGTGATCACGGATGGAGTAGGTCTGCATGCAATTCAAAGTTCATAGCCTTCGTGGCTACAGCACAGATTCAAGCGATGGGCCACTGAGCGTGATCTCTTGTGTATATACCAAATTGGTTGAGGCTGAGGTTGAATACAGAAGCTGCGTCTTCTGCTCTGGAGCATTATAATGATAATGGATATAATGACATTGCGTGCCTTCGAGCGCAACTATAAACAATACTTGTAACAATTCGCGATCTGTATTGTGCCATTCTTTTATCACGCCATACTTCATTTGTAACTCACTCCCAGCCGGCCATTAGCTCTGCCTTCATATCAGCAACCTGCGGCTTGAGCGCCTCATACCTCTTGAGGGCATCATCCCTCAGGTAGTCCTCACGCCTGGTATAATAGCCCTCGAACGATGGCTTCCCATCGTTGACAGTTACCCAACCCTGACGACTCTGCGTGTAAATGTGAACGTCCGGCTGGACATCCCAGGGCCTGTCAAAGGTCCCAACACGAACGTATGGCAGATGAGGCCCAGCATCTGCGTAGTAATTCCACAGGCCAGTGTGGCACACAGGACATCCAACAAGTGTCTGTCCCACGCCAGATGCTGTAGGAAGACATACAGATAAGGGTTCAGCTTCGGGGCGAGGCTCACGTGTAGCTGAGTCGGCGGATGTAAGCCGTGCAAAAGCGGGCTGAACAGCAGCGGGGATAGGGTCCAGGTTGGAAGAAGAAGCGACGATAGTGGGGGGTGCTGAAGGGAGAAGAGTCAAGGCGGTGGACTCTATGACAGCATTGAGGGCGCAAATAGAGCCTGTCTGACGCTGGCAGGTAGTACAGTAACAACAATGAACTATGAGGGGGTGAAGAGTAAGCTGGTAGCGGATAAGACCGCAAGCGCAACCGCCAGTGAGGGGAAGAATGTCTTTGCGTTGGGAGTAGTGGGCCATTGTGCTGGTGTTGAAGAAGTGAAAAGGTGAGAGAGGAGACAGAGGCTCGAAGGGGCTTATAAAGGAAAAGGACAGAGTCAGGGCTCAGTAACTGGCTAATAATAGAATTATTAATGAAAAGACATAATATTCGTGTGGCATTGTCCTCGTTTTAATTCACTCTTCCCAAGACTACTAAGACCATGTTGAACGAAAGCGGGGAGCTGGCCAGTGAGAGTGAACGGGACGGCCTAAATAGGAAATTTACGAAAGGTCTTAATAGCGATAGGATACACTGAGTTCCCTGGGGGACAGAAGAATTAACCAGTCCTAGATATTTTTATCTAAGGAAAAAAAAAAGAAACTGAAAAAATATATAAATTCAGAAGAGATTTTTATAAAATAAAGTAATCTTTATATTATTTTATGTAGATTTTATTATTTTATAAGAACTTAAACATAATAGAGAATTGAGTAAGATTAGTGAAGACCGGTTAATGCTTCTGACCCCTGGTTGACAGTACACAGGGTTGATAGAGACAAGGAATTTATCTGTGCAAGATTAGATACAATTCCAAGAGACCATAGGTGCTGACCTCGCGCTGCTATGACGATACATGATGGCCAGCCCCCCTATTATATTCCTTTGAGAGTTTCCCAGTGGCTCTGTAGCCTTCCCTTCTGTGATCGGGCTCGGAACAAGTCTCTAGGAACGAGCACCATTTGCCACGCAGTGAATTAACATTGAATGCTGATTAATATCGAGCATCAAACGAGAGGCTTCGAAAACCACTGCTCCCGTCATCTTCACTGTCTTCATCTTCCAGAAAGGCCTTGTCATCACTGCCCATGAATGCCGTCATCTCAATCTTGCAGGCCTGGCCCACGAGCATTTCCATATGGCGGCTAGACAAAATCAAGTCCAGTCGTTGATAGCACGCCGAGAGGACACTTGAGAATGGGCTCCGTTGAAAGGGTGCGCACCAGTAGTGAGGGTGATGTTCTCCAAATACGAGCTTTTCGACTTCTTTAAATAGGCGATGCAATCTTGACACGCTGCCTCGGTATACAGGCTGGTCGGCGTTCAACGAGGGCATGAAGAAGGAATCTATCTCGAGGTCTTGTGTCACTTGGATGAACTTTTCGGGGATGCCGTCTGCAAGGCTCACAGCAGAGCAAGGGCCGGCGTGCCAACATATTGGGCGTTTGGCCAGAATCTTGATTGCAATCTCCTTGCCTTCTGCATGGAAGACTTGGAGCATCTTGACGCGGTGTTGAGTAATAGCATCTGACAGACTCATGATTAGATAACTGTGACTAGATTGAAAGCCGTGCTAACTTACCGATCACGGGAATCAGTTTGAAAGTTTCCAAGTTGATCAGCCGAGTATTTCTATCGATCAACAAGCTGCCAAACTCGTCGACGTGACATTTTTCGGCGATGTCCTGAAGCATCTCCTCGACTGCGCCCTGGCATCCGAGCTCCCAAGCCACGAATAGATTCTTGCTGTATGCCTGCATCTTCTTACTGCGCTGGCACATGCTTTTGAGCCTTTGATACCACGCTGTCGCCATCGGCCGTAAAGTCTTGGTCATGTCGTATTTGTTGGTCAAGACGCAGATGTTGTGGAGCTCTTGAGGCTTTAGGTCCAGAGGGGCATGGTCGAAGTTTGCATGTGCGATGTCCATGAGAACAACAAAGGCTTCTGGGTTATCCTCGGGAAGCTTCACTTCCCACCGATGCAGGCTGTTGGCGGGCTTTGAGTCGCTGAAGCGGCCCCTTAGCATCGCGCGGAAGACCTTGGAGGCCCGGCAGAGCGCGTTAGAGTCAACATGGAAGATTTTAGAAGATGAAACGGGACCGACTGTCAGCCAGAGATCTCCATTGTCATCGAACACGATGGTATCAGGTGACGAGGCACTAGGCGATGTCATGGCGAGCTTCGTGTATTCGGAGCGTGCCAACAGAAGATTTTGCGAGAGTGAAGATGAGAGGATCAAGGAAGAAAGAGCAAAACAAAATATAATAAAACAGAGGTCAGCGAAATAGGGTACGTAATGCTTTCAATTTCACCGGCGCAACGTTCATAATGAAAATCGGCAGCTGGCAGTGCCAGCAGCAGTGTCAAGGCATTTGACATTCAACTTCGGGAATTCATTGGTGAACTGACTACCTTAAAGAGGCGGTATGTAGGTAGTTATGCTTGTCTTGTTTTCACACATATATGCAAGTGAAATAGGATCAAATGGGTTATTTAGAAAGACTTTGCCTCATTCTGGCACACACTTGGTATATAGCTACCCTCCTCTGATATTCTACAGCTCATACTTGGCTGGATCTGGTTGCTAGTGCCAACATGGAGAAATCTTCCCTTCAAAATAATGACAACGACAAACATCCAGTAATACCTAAGCTCTCCTTGTGTTCACCCTACATCAATATGAGGAGAAGATGCTTGTCAAATAAGACACGCGCACACACACAATGTGACTCGCCAATCACCAATCGAAATATCAAACACCAACCGTTAACCTGTACACTCATTCCTCCTCATCGTCGTCGTCGTCATCCGAGACCCCAGGAATCATTCTAACCTTGGCAGCCTGGATTTGCAAAGCCCGAAGATGGCTTAAGTAGAGGGGATCGGCTGCCCTTCGAAGTTGTTGCCTAACTTCCTCGACCGTCTCGAGTACGGCAGGGCACCATCCACACAAGTCGATGTGATCAGCCACGAGACTAATCTTGTGCTCAAGGGTCTTCAGATCTAGGTCCGAGGACCGAAATACGTCGAGGCTGCCCCCAAAATGGAAAAGGTCGAGTATTCCTTCTTCGCCAGCCTTGCTTAGCATCTTGCCCAGCATCAGACACATTTCGTCTCGGCTGTGGGAAGCGCCGCACATCCGTCCCTTGACAGAGCTATACAGGACTTGTTCGCCCAGCTTCTGGCTCTTATACCAGCAAGTCTCCAGAGCGAGCTCGCGGTGTTCGGTGATGCAGTCTGTGAAGGAGTTAGCGAGGTTGAGAATAAATGTTTTTGCGCTTACCAAGAATAGGAATTCGTTGCAATCCTTCAAAGTTGCAAAGTCGTTCCTTGCTCTCTCCGATAACGAGCTGATCGCTCCAATCCAACGAACAGTTGAGCACGACGTGTCCCATCATCTCGCTGAGCTCCTCCGAGAAACCCAACTCCCATGCAATATATGCCTTCTTGAAAAATAGTCCATAGTCCTCCGTGGAGGTACTCAAGGCCTTGAACCAGCGCTCAGCCACAGGTCGTAGGACCTGTGTCATCTCATACTTGCTGGTTAGAATGCAAGCACCGTACAGCTTCTTGAGTGATACCTTGGCGGGCACCTTCTCGAAACGTGTATGAATCAAATTCATAAGGACAGTGAAAGGGGCAGGATCGTCATCTGGTAGCTGGATAGTCCAGTCGCTGCCATCTTCGGCGTCTTTCTGGTTAAGGGAAACGATCTCCTTGAGTCTGGGAGACACACGGCTGAGGGCTCGTGAATCAATAAGCATAATTCGTCCTGGGTTCTGTCCAACCTGTAGGTAGAGATCTCCGCTCTTATCAAAGCAACTCAAAGGCCTTCCGCTCTCATTAGAAACGCTCTCGCTAGTTTCTGTTGATACAGAATAATCGACGACAGCTTGGGTTTGGGTGGCAGGATCAGTGTCAATACCTGTGACCCACAATTCGGCACTTTCAATGTCAGTGGTTGTAGCCAGAGCGGCCATTTCTTTGGTGACATAAGGTTCCGGGGTGGGATATTGGGTTTGGAATCCATTGGTGCCCTCGTCGAATTCATCGTAAAATTCGAACTCCTCGCCACTATCGGAAAACTCGAAACCATCAACATCGGCCTCAGCGAAACCGGACTCACGAGTGGTGGGCGCCGTAACGACAATTTGAGGGATAGTGACATCGTGAAAATCAGGGTGGGTGATGGTATGATCATCGGTAGTGCTGTCGGTCGTTGGGGGCTCACTAGGAGACTGGCTTGTGACAGACTCTTCTTCAGTGCCAAGAACAAAAGTATAGTCAGGAGTAGTAGGCTCTGCAGTGCCGTACTGGATGTTGTTCTCGATAGAGGAGGCTTCGGCGTGGAAGAGTGAAGTGTCCAGAACTCCAGCCTTATCTTTGGGAGTCTCGACCTCAGGTGTAGTGGGCTGAATGGAAGAATGAGACCCAATATCCGGTTTTGATGGACTGCTCGTCCAAGTGCTGTACACAGGCTTGCCTCCATTAATGAAATCCATAAAGGAGCTACGGGTTGGGATCGACCCGCAAAGCTTTGCTTGGAGTTCGACGTTCATCTCGGGGGACTGGAGCTAGAGTTGTGCTTTAAAAGCTATTGGTAGTTGGGAATAAAGTGTGAGTTGTAATGAGTAGGTATGTATAAGAGGGAAATAAGGCGAAGTGAGATGCGATGCGGGAGTGTGTGGTTGTTGTGATTGTGGGAGAAAGAAAAGTGAGAGGAGAAGAACCGCAGAAGAAGAGAAGGTCAAAGGCAAGGCTGCTGTGCGCGCCAAGTGGCTCAAGAAGCATCCAGTGGCAGCCGGTTGACAGTGGCAGTGGCAGTGACAGTGACAGTGGCAGTGGCAGTGACAGTGGCAGTAACAATAACATTAGAGGCAATCATTCGAACAATAGGTGCTGGGAACAAATGCAATCCGCAGTGTGTTGCAGGGGCCAATATTAATTCAAGGGGCACTTTTTTGCTTTGAACCTTGTGTTATTGGTGAACAATAGAGAGGCTCCTTGCCATCACACGCAAACTCAAGTTCATCCCAGTCGTTGGTGTTTATGAATTAAAGGTGATCTCATACTCGCAAAAACAATACACGCAAATAACCGTTGTGACATCAATGTAAATTTATAGTGCAAAGTGTCAGGATCTGATAGACGATATCTGACTAAATATATATTGATATTTCACATTACCACTGTATCTTAGCAGTCTGTGTATAACTATGTTTCCGCTGTTTCCCAGTCAAGACATTGGGCAATTTGTTCCACCTTGCGCTTCGCAAGTCTCTTCAGCAAGTGTTCACTAGAGTTTAGTTACATTACCTGCTTGACGACATATCTCGGAACTGCCTAAATGCCAACAGAAGCTGGCTGTCACCCGACTTGGAGAGCCGGCAAGGGCTCGATCGGCAGACTAGTGGTACGGGAATTTGTAGTATTTGATGAGATTACCGCGACATTTGGCAACGGGCTCTATAAAGCGCTAGACGGGCTATTTTCTATGAGCAGGGCGAAACACTTCGTTGTTGTCTTTAGGTCACGAATCTTTTCGATGTCCTTCATAGGCTTGGAGTTAAGAACGGAGCCCTTAGCATCTTGCTTACCTAGTTGTAAGACATCGGGTTCAGGTGTGAAACATCATAGAACTTTCAAGGATGTGACTACATTCGAGTGATCCAGGTGATCTCAAGCAAGATTATCTGTGGACCAAAGGTTGTGATAGCTTCAACAATGAATGAGACAATGCTAGAGCTTCCCCGCACGTGATGCTCGTATTCCCTGTTGTGTATCCACCCTTCATTCAGCCCTGTATGGCCCGCTAATCCCTTTCCGACGACGACAGGTTCGAAAGGATTACCCGTTTCTACTATGACTATCAATCAACGATAACGGGGCCTGTGACTCTCTCGCCATACCTAGTTACACCCATAACGCTATCCGTGCGTCCTGTCGCTACTTGAATAATGCCCAACACGGGAAAGCCAAGCAAAGATTGCCATCTTTGTCGATCACGACGTGTCAAGGTCGGTTCAGCCCTTGAGCCACTTATTCTGTGCTTACGCGGTTATGTCATAAGAGAGACGCTCGAGCATATCAACCCATTGCATATTCAATTGCTGACCACATCAACAGTGTGATCTTGGCAGGCCATCCTGTCAAAGATGCATCAAATATGGGACTGAGTGTCCGGGATATCGGGACGAACAGGAGCTCGTCTTTCGCAACGCTAACCCAACCACCATCAAGAAGAGGAAGAAGAGGACTCAGCAAAATGCTACGGGTCAGACTCGTGGGGAGTCTGTCATGTCTTTTGGCTCATCCTCCTCCTCCTCCTCCTCTTCGTCTAATGGAGATGCTGCCACGCCATCAGTCACTGAAGAAGTTGATCGTGAATTCAGCCCCGTCTCACCTACAATAGTCGACCTTGTCGAATTCACCAGAACTGGAAGGGCTCTCATCCTGCCACAATCCCTTAATGAGCATTGGACCGCCCATTCCATCCCGATCCTTCTCAATGTCTACTATACTTTGGATTTCCTCCATGACACATACAAAAAGAGCGGCCCTCAGGGGCCTCTTCTTTGGGCCACTCATCTCTTTGCCCGCACATACATCACCAACCTGCGATATCCCACCGCCATCGACAACGGATCTGTCGAGCAGACTGACAAGGAACTTGGCACATACCTTGGTAAAACCTTGAGCTCTGTTGGCGAAGCTCTCAAGACACCAGAGGGCGCAATGAGAGACGATGTTCTCGCGACAGTATGGATTCTAACAAACTATGAAGTGAGCAACATGACTTCTTCCCACCATTCTTATGCTTATATTTTAATAGCTTCTTATGGGCTCCATCAACCGCGTATCACCCCTGAACCCATGGCATCTCCATACCAATGGGCTATACAGTATTCTTCAGCAAAGAGGAACGGCTTCTTTGCGAAGGCCGGGATCGAGAATGGGTTTCTGGCCTGCTTACAACATGGTGGTATGTCACTTCAGTCTGAATTCCCGCTCCCAACTAACAAGCTATTAGCAAGTCCGGTGTCTCCTGACAAGCCTTGAGTGTCCTCCTGAATCCCAGGAATGGTTTGCCGCCATCAGACAAACCCTTCATCCAGGAGAAGGATTGGCTGTTGAGGTCGGCGATTATATCTGCAAGATGGCACATGTTCAAAAGCGTATGCTCGATATCATTCGAGCTCGAGACTTTGACGCCGCTGCTCTCCAGTACTACGACTTAGTTGGTATTGTTTTCAAAGCCGAAGATCATTTCACGACTTTTGACGCAGACTACCATTACATCGACGAGGTTTTCAACCCCTATCTACGAAACATGCTCAACTCGGCGCGAGTAAAAGGATACCATGTCATCTTGACCTACGCAAACTTTTTAACTCATCATCCGAATGCCCCTGTTCCCCTGCAAGAGCTCAAGGTGCTACGCTCGCATTGTGTATACCGGGTTCGAGACAGCGCAAAACTTGTCATGGATGCGGTAAATCGGCATCTCGACCCGGCATCTTTCCGCAACAACCCGTCACCAAGGACAGTGTTTGACGCGTTGAAATTGATATGGCCTCTGACGGCAGTCTACCTTGTACCGTCAACGCTAAACGAGCAGAGCGAAGCCGCAGGTGAATCGTTACAGTTCATCGGCCGCGAGCTTGGAGTGAGGCAGGGTCTCAAGGTTAACAAGGGGGAGTCTACGCTGCCGCCGGAGGCAGAGGCACCTTCACAGCTGGCTGAGGATACGGCATTTGATCCACTTCCAACTAGTAGAGGATTAATGTAATGAACAGAGTCTAGTTACGACGAACGGTTCCAACAGGTGAATACTGATCATGTTCTTCAATATTCTTTCAACATGAGAAGAATGTATCTGTTGCGAGATCTATCTTTGACCCTCACTTGATCGCCGATTTCAGGGGCTCCTTGTCCGGAGCAACTCCGGTGTCCCACTAAGAAAGTCCCACAAGAACACAGACGGCTTCGAGTCTCAGATCCGCTCCGGGTCAGTGGGCTTGCTTAGAACTCCGAGACCCGCTCCGTGGCACCCAAAAGTTCGGTGTGACCTTACGTGCGAGATACGATAGATAATACTGTGGCAAGAGCGATGCCTCGCTTAGCTTTCAGTACTGCATGTCAGCGTGCAAATTGAGCGACACTTCATGGATCTCAGTGATATCCAATACCATCTTCATTAATGCGATTCTCTAGTCACAATTGTGGCGTCGTATGTGGCGGGTGCTGTTGATCTCGGTTAAGCGAGGTGTGGCGGTGCGGTATGTCACTCAGCCAGCAAGACGAAGAGGATTCTGTTTTAGAAGCGCAAGACCGAAAGGGAGGGAGTCCAGGGACGGACGGCAGTTTCTAAAAGGCCGTGCTCAAAAACATGCGACTTGACCAGCTTGTTTCTTGGTCTGAAGATAACGTTGTACGAGAAGGGAGCATGATCAGCAAGGACAGCACGAGTCCGGCGGGTGGCGGCAGTGGATGGGTGATCCAGTTACGGAGTACAGCCCGCTGTTTTATTTTGATGCGGCTCGTGTTGAAGCAGTTAATTCTCGAAATGGAAACACTGCAGATTTTAAGTTGATGCTTGGAATTTATGCTTTCCGAGGAACCTAATGCCTAAGTTTTGGGTGCCGGTACAGGCGTGACGTGCTACAATTATACCGATAAACGTATCTTGTTTTCCAAGTATAGGTAGTGAGTGCACTGTGCATACAGAGGGGTTATCACCAGAGCATACAGTGCGACTGGACACCCCAAAAAACAAAAACGGATGGATTGACATCCGAGCCAACCACCATCTTTCATACCATGATCCAGATCGTGATCCAACCCAACACAAGACAGCGCAAGCCATCATTCTACTGTACAATCCCTGCATCCTCTGCATTAGTTTGTTTTGGGTTGCTATTTGCATCTCTCCCCTCCTCTTACCGAGTCTTACCCCGGATTCCACAACCGTTGCGTTGCGTTACTACACGAAAAAGAAGCCCTCGCAAGCCTCGGGATGGACAAGCAGATGATGCTTCTGCATTGCATGACTGTATCAATGAATCAGATCGTCAAGTTAAAACATCAACACACGGTCGGGTCCGTGGATCACACAATCCGAAACTGAACACTGAACACCAAAAAGAAATCAAGGCCACACCCCCGGGAGCATGTGAAGTCATCGCCACGTCTCAGTGACCCAATCATCACACCGTCGATGCCAAGACCCGTGATGAATCTGGTAATGAACGACACTGCAACCGAACCCGAAATGCCAGCTCGCAAGTTTCCGGGAGCAATAATATCAACAGGAAATGAAAGGCCCGTTTACTCACCAGGTTTGTTGGCTCGTGTACGGATAAGCTTGTGCGCTTGCAATTGTAGAGTTGGTGTGTAAATGCTCACTCCTGCATTTTGCTTGGCTCGTCTCGTTGGCGGCGTCGGCGTTTCCCTTGCTGGCCTTGCATTCGCTATATCCGGTTGGATATGCTAAGATGAGGATGAGGTGACGCTCATGTTAGAACTGTGCTTCTGTACTCCTGCTGCTCAATCGACCTGT